AGCTGATTATACTTACGGCATAGTCTCAGATGGCACCGTGTTATCCCATGGGCAGGATCTGGACCATTTATAAACTCACATTTTCAGGTACACGGGCTTACAGTATTCTGAGGAGTCACGACTATTACACAGCAATAAAAACATCTCTGCGAAACTGTCAACTCTTAATTTTAATTTCTTTTTGGTAAAATCAATTTTTTTTCCAAAGGTAATACAGCATATTAAAGAAAATAATTCGAGAAAAGTAGGAGGTAGAAAAAGGTCATGCAGATCTCATGATCAAAAACAACCATTTAGAAACCTTTTTCTCAGTCTGTTGAGATAGTGCTTCTAGGCGTGTCCTGTTTGGCTCAAATAAATTAGTATAAACAAAAATAACAAAAACACAATCATTTAAATTTTTTTTCCTATGTGACCACTGGCCATATATGTCTATTTAAAAAATATATAAAATTTGAAATGTATACAAAAGCAGAGAGAGAATAGTAAAATGAACCCCTCATACTCAAATCCAGTTGTACAGTTTCAAGATGTTAACCACATTTGCTTCAATTCTCCTGTTTTTAACATTTGCTAAAGTATAAATTCCAACATGTCATTCTCCTCCTCAATGCTTCAGTGTATGTCTCTAAAAATATATATACATTTTTTTCTAATAACTCATAAGGCCATTATCACAGCTAATGAATTAACAATGTTCTTGGTATCATATATAATGCCCTGTTCATAGTAAAAGCTCCCTGATAAACAACTTAGAAATGTTATGCATACCTATATCCTCCCTTTTTGCTTACTAATAAAATATTTATAATCTGTTAAAAATCCAACTTTTCATCTTGAGTTTTCAGTTTGCTATTATATTTCCCAACAGCATATTTTTCAAAACTTTCTAATTTCGAAATGGCTGTGTGCAAGAGTGTGGGGGGGTAACTTGGATGATTAATCATTCCTCCTTTGAAATGTTTCCACGTATATATGGACAGAGAGTGTGAGTGTGTTTTTCTTCCCCTTATAGTAAACTTGTTGCCATAAATATCTTTCTTCATAATACCTTTCCCTTGATTAGGGCTATTTCCTTAGGACCCATTCCAGGAGTGTTTATTGCAGCACCCAATGTATGAACATTGTAAGGCCCTTGACTTGTCTCCCTGAGTTGTTTACAAAAGGACTGTACCAATTTACACTTCCACTTACAAAGGATGAGAGAACCTCTATTAAAATGTTTCAAGGCAGTACTTTTCAGAGCTCTTATAAATCATTGGCTAAGGCTGGCTTATGTTTGTCATATGGTCATAGCCATCTCAGAATAAATAAATACACATTTTCTATAGCTATGAAAACACGGCATGCTCAGACTGCCAAACAACCACAAACTAACTTTGATTAAAAGAGAAACCGGTCTATTTGAAAATGTGGTAATGAGAGAGTTCCCACCCACCGGGAAGCTCGGTCCTGGAGGGGGAGGGGAGCCTGCATTTCTTCTTGCCTCTTCCCATCCTGAAGAAGGTAGAAATGAACAGGTCAGCGTTCTCTTCGTTTACTTTACGATTTTTTTTTTTTAAAAGCTGGGTATTTTATTTGTTTCCATCTGGCTGAGTTGATGATGCAAAAATACGGTTGAAAACTGGTTGAAAACTAGCAGAGAACTTCTGGTGGCGGGCGTTTCCTGTAAACGCAGCCCCATAGCACTGGGTAACAGAGGATTAAGGCAGAGCCATTTTAGCTTCGAGTCCAAATTCTACTTTGTTTCCTTGGGGACACGTTGTTCTTATTTGTTGACTTCAAATAAAACTGCTTCTGAAACTGTTTGTTTCTGTATATAGCATGCTTGTTTTCCTTAAAGAATGTAGCATATCAGTTACAAATCTTTGCAGAAAATTCAGTTGTACTGGTTTAGATATATTT